ATGCAGTAGAGAAACTATCGTCATCTTGTTTAAAAAAATAAACAGCAGAGTATGGATTTGTTTGGTTCCAGCTCTGGTATCGGACCTATCTCAGACATATAGATACTTGGAAAAAGCGCTCCAGATGATGTTCGTCCGATTGCTGCGCCGAACAGCCTTGCAGCTCATCAGCAGCTCGAGTTACAGCAAGAATGGCATCGTGATCTCTTAGAACAATGATTCGTAGAGTTTTCCCTAGCGCGAAGAGGCGAAGCTAGAGAGTAATTCCGGCGCGCTGGGGGGCTTGTTGGCAAACAGATTTCGACGGAAGTTTTGTTTTTTTGACCAATTTAAAATCATATTATCGAAATTATTTGAAAGGTTTTTCGAGCTCTAATATTTTTACCCCATATTCGATCTGATTCGCGCTCGCCATCTTAATCACAGGTCGATCGGGTACATATTACTGCCAAAACGCACTCAGGCGGGATCGGCTGTTCAGTGTCATCTGGACAGGTGCTGTTATGTTTCTGAGCTTAATTCGAGCTATAGATGAGCTGCCAAGCTGTTCGGCACAACAATCGAAAGGGAATCATCAGAAACGCTAGTGACTCGTAGAGCTTTCCTAAGAGCGAAGCGGCGAAGCTAAAGAGTAATTCCGGCGCGCTGGGGGGCTAGTTGACAAAACAATTTCGATTTTTGTTTGGTTTTTTGTTTTCGTTGTTTTGTTTTATTTGTGTGACATATTAAAATTCCATTTCTCGAAATTCGAAAATTCGTCGACCTGGGACACGTTTTCGTATGTTTCTGCAGATTGGGCCTCCCCTGGGGCACGAGCATTGGATGTTTTACGTATGTTCCTATATATTGGGCTTTTCTTGGGGCGCGAATCCTCCCCTGGAGGCCCCAGGAGGCTCCAGCAGGAGGCCCCAGGAGGTCGCGCGAGGCACCAGGAGGCCCCAGGAGGCCACGTGAAGCCCTAAGAGTCCCCAGGAGGCTCCAAGATGCTTCAGGAGGCTCCGGGAGACCCCAGGAGGTTCCAGGAGGCCCCCGGAGTCCTCGGGCTCATGCGCAGAGACGCGCTCGTACTACTGAGATTCATTCGCGCTCCAATTCATTCGCAGTTACATTCACCCAGGCTGTCGATATTCAAGCTCGCTTATATTCGAAAACTCTCGCGCCTAGACCTCTCGGCGGACAGCTCCATGGTAATAGTTGCGCATGTGGGAAGCTCCTCGCAGGGACTAATTACTCCGGCCGCGCCAACTCACGCTCACACGCACACACCTCCTTCCTCCTCGTTATCTACTGTTATGTGCTGTTTTGTAATCTTATGAGATGTTATGGTATGATATGGTTTGTTCTGGTATGACATGGTATGTCATGTCATGGTATGGTATGGCATGCTAAATTGTGTTATGTTGCTATGCTAGCCTGTGCCTGGATGTGCTATAGGAATCATGTAGTATGTTGTTGCATAATTTGTTATTGTATGTTTGAATATGTCATGCTATGGCATGGTGTCGGTTCTGACGCGTGATGCGTGAGGTAGGTTGGTGCTATGGAAGTGTATGTTATGTTGTGTTTGTGCGGGCTATGATATCGCATGTTCTATTGTGATATGCTATAGTCTGAAACCTTACTTTTTGTAATGCCATGTAATGAGATATGATGATGAGGACGGCGACCATGATGCTTATGATGATGACAATGGGGATGATGATCGTGAGCATGATGATGAGGATAATGATGAGGATTCTGATGATGGTGATGATGATGTTGATGATGATGGTGATGGTGATGTTGACGCTGATGATGCTGTTGATGATGCTGATGATGATGATGGTGGTGGTGCTGATGATGATGGTGGTGGTGGTGGTGGTTGTGGTTGTGGTGGTGGTGGCGGTGGTGGTGATGGTGATGGTGATGGTGATGATGATGCCGATGCTGATGCTGATGCTAATGCCGATGCTGATGCTGATGCTGATGATGATGACGATGGCGATGACGATGATGATGATCACGATGATGATGATGATGATGATGATGATGATGATGATGATGATGATGATGATGATGATGATGATGCTGATGAGGACGATGCTGATGCTGATGCTGCTGCTGATGCTGATGCTGATGCTGATGATGACGATGATGATCAGGATGAGGACGAGGATGAGGATGAGGATGAGGGTGATAATGAGGATGAGGATGACGATGAGGATGAGGGTGAGTATGAGGATGATGATGAGGATGAGGATGAGGATGAGGATCAGGTTGAAGAGGATGAGAATGAGGATGATGTTGATGGTGATGGTGATGATGATGATGATGATGATGATGATGATGATGGTGATGGTGATGGTGATGGTGATGATGATGATGATTGTGCTGATGATAATGCTGATGATGCTGCTGCTGATGATGACGATCATGATTATGGTGCTGATGATGATGATGATGATGCTGATGCTGCTGCTGATGATGATGATGCTGTTGATGATGATGATGATAGTGCTGGTGGTGGTGGTGGTGATGATGATGATGATGATGAGGGTGATGGTGGTGTTGGTGGTGATGATGTTCATGATGATGATGATGATGATGATGGTGATGGTGATGGTGATGGTCGTGATGATGATGATGATGATGATGATGATGATGATGATGATGATGATGGTGATGATGATGATGTGATGATGATGGTGATGTGATGATGATGATGATGATGATGATGGATGATGATGATGGTGATGATATGATGATGATGAGGATGAGGATGAGGATGATGATGATGAGGATGATGAGGATGATGAGGATGAGGATGAGGATGAGGATGAGGATGAGGATGAGGATGAGGATGAGGATGAGGATGAGGATGAGGATGAGGATGAGGATGAGGATGATGATGATGATGATGATGATGATGATGATGATGATGGTGATGATGATGATGATGATGATGATGATGATGATGATGATGAGGAGGATGATGATGATGATGATGATGATGATGATGATGATGTTGGTGGTGGTGGTGGTGGTGGTGATGGCGGAGCAAAATCGTCTCAAGCGAGGCGCGGGTTTCACCCCCCTCAATGGGGAAGCGCCAGGGTGTATTGCCCTCCTCCGTTCGCGCCAAAATGGCGGGGATGTCTCGAGCGGTTTGCCTTTTTCTGCCCCCACCATCCTCTGCTTTCGGAGCAGATTTGGAGGATGTCTCGAGCGAGGCGCTGATTTTCGCATCCCAGCGGGGCCAGATCTTGAGGATGCTTCGAACGGTTTGTTTGTTTTCCTGGCCAGACTCGTGGGCGCGGATTTTCTTCCGGATGCCACAGGAGGCCCCGGCAGGCTCCAAACAGCCCCAGGCAGCAGTAGCTTCCAGGAGGCTGCAGGAGGCCCCAGGAAACACCAGGAGGCCCCAGGAGGCCCCAGGAGGCCACAGGAGGCCACAGGAAGCGCTAAGAGGCACCAGGAGGCCCTGGAAGGCCCTTGGAGCCCCCACGAAACCCCAAGAACAGGAGGCCTCAGAAGGCCACAGGAGTGGCTCCAATCCCTGGTGTTTTACGTTGATTCCTATAGATTGGGCCTCCCCTGAAGCACGAATCCGTGGTGTTGTCTGCTTATATAGATTGTCCTTCTCCTGCCTATCCACTCCTCAATTTTTTACGCACGTCCCTCTGGATTGGGCCTCCCCTGGGGCACGATTCCTTGGTGGTTTACGTGTTGTGTTCCTATAGATTGCCCTCCTCCTGTGGCTCCAATCTGAAGTGTTTTACATCTCTTCCTTTAGATTGGACATTTCCTTGGGCACGAATCTTCCCCAGGAGGCCCCAGGAGGCTCCAGGATGCTCCCAAGAGGTCCCGGGAGGCTCCAAGAGGCTCCAGGAGGCCCCAGGAAGACCCAGGAGGCCACAAGAGGCCCCAGAAGGCCCCAGGCTCATGCGCACAGACGCACTAATATTATTGAGAATCCTTCACGCTCCAACTCATTCACAGTCAGATTCACTCCCAGATCGTCATTACTCAAGCCCGTTTATGTTCGAAGGCTCTTGCGCCGAGACGTTTACGGCGGACCAGTCCATGCTAATAGATGCACGTACGGGGGGCTCCGCGCAGCGAAGTCGCCGGCCCAACGGGCCAGAGGCGTGCTAAGATCTCTGGTGAGTACTGGCAATATTTCTACTTCGCGCACGCGGGGCGGCCCCTGGGGGCCCCCGGACGAAAAGTACCCCGGCCGATCCCCGGCTGGCCGATCCCTGGCTGACCCCCGGGCGATCCCCAGGGAGGAGGCTATTTTTCGCCACCCCTCACGAGGATCGTGGCCTCCGAGGGGGTGGCTGCAATCGACTACCCCCCCCTCCTGCCCCAAGGGGCCCCCAAGAGCCCCCCAAGAGGCCCCATGGGGAGCCCAAGACGCCGCCGAGGAGCCCCAAGAGACCCCCAAGAGGCCCCCAAGAGGTCCCTAGGAGGCCCCAAAGAGGCCCCCAAGAGGCTTCAAAGAGGCCCCATAGAGCGCTCGAGGGCCGGCGGAATGAGCGAATCGATTAAATGATTTCTGATCGTCGTCCCACGCTGGAGGTCTCTTTGGGTATATGCTCTGGCTACCGTGGAGCCAACTGCCCAAACAGGATTCTGGAATGTATGAGTGAGCAGGGGGAGCAGGAGGAGGGAGACAGTCCAATATTTCAAGCGTTTCGGCACTCCCGACCTGCGGGGGGCGGCGGATCATTCTTTTGATGTGAGGGGGGGAAAGCGGCGTCTAATGACAGCCTGGCTTTTGTCATTGTGCTTGCTCTGTTCGTGGCTATATGCGTGCTTCGCGCAGTTATGGAAATATCGCAGGACTTTTCCGTTAAGGAGTTGGGAGCATCAGCATCTGCTCACGAGCGGACAATCATTCGTCGTCATGTTGTTCCGCGTTTTTGCTGGCCCAAGAGCTGCAGAAACATGACTCTCCTGTATGATTTGCCATGTCGCGGCTGGGTCCGACAAAGTGACATGTCACCGCAGTGTGTCCCATGACGCAGGCCGAGGCACTTGGGGAATGAGGGCGCGATTGCATTTGTGCGGAAGGGGAGTGCGTCACAAGGAAGGGCCCGTGGTCTAGATTCGGTCTTGTTGGCTGATGTTGCTTGTGATTTTCCTTCCATCAGAGAAAAGGGACCAACAAATGAAGGACACGGGGAACTGGCCCAGTGCACGCGTGCGTGTAAGATGCGTTGCTTTCCGTGCCCGTGTGTATTATCGAGTGGTTCTCTTGGTTGTGATGTGCCGCCTTCGCCCTGGTCCTCTTTTCCGCCCTCGCCGCCGGCTTTGCGCGACCGGCGGAGATGGGTGGTGCTCTCTTGGGGAGGCGGGCGGGTGCTGCGTGGATCTCCCTAGGACTCACGTGTGCCTGGCGCTGTCGCGATCGTGCGGGCGGGGTTGCCTCTGTTTCTCGCTTGCTTGCAGCTTCTTCTCAAGATGCAGTGCCGGGCCCATCTCGGGCTCACGCCCGGCCTCGTTTTTCGCTCTTGCCCACTTGGTATGCTTGCAGCCGGGGCGGATTTTCTGTCGGGGAGTGGCTTGGAGGAGGCCGCCTTGCGAGCCAGAAATGCCCCTGGGGCTACAGCCCGGGGTGCCGGAGGAAGCGCCGCGCTGCTGGACAGCCAGCTGGGCGGCAAGAGCGCGTGGCTGCCTTGCCCTGCGCAGCATGTGCACCTGCGTCCGCTCCTTTCTTCTTCCCTCTCTTCTCTGCCGTGCTTTCCGTGCACGCGCGTTGACTTGATTTATAGACGGTTCGTCCATCTGTTCGGTCGCGGGTGGCTCCGTAGCCTGTGGCTCAAGAAGCTCCTGGTGGTGAGTGGGGTGGCTGCCCGTCCGGGCTTCGCCTTCTTTGTTGGCCTGTGAAGCTCGGCATGGACGCCGCCTGGCGTGCCAAAAGCGCCCCAAGGGCTACAGCCTGGGGCGTTAGTGGAGGGCCGCCTGGCTGGACAGCCAGCGGGGCGGCAAGGAGCTCGTGGCCGCTGTGCCACAAACAGCATTCGCAACTGTTCACGCGTTGCTTTTCAGGAAATCTGTTCCGGTGGCGCACCTCCCCGGCCCACTTGCTACAGCAACCCCCGTATCGCATCCCTGGGCGGCTGTGGCTGGGCTGTGCTGCCTGGTCGTTGCAACTCTGCTCCTGGCGGATGCTGTTGCTGTCTCCCCAAAAGTCGGCTGCGGCACTGGAGCGGCGGCTGCGGTTGTGGTGGCTGCTCCCGTTCCGCCTCCAATTCTTGGGTTGAATGTTTCTTTGGGAGGTGGGGTTGCTGCCGCGCCCCCCCTTGCACGCAGTGCAGGCCCCCGCCACGCTTCCACCGTGAGCTTGGGGCTGGGGCACGCCCCGAGGGAACGGGAGGTTTAAAAGGGCCTCGCAGTGGCGCGGGCAGCGCAGCTGGCCGCGGCCTCGCGGGGGCTCCGCGGCGGCCCCGCTCGGCCTGGGGGCAGCACTTGGGCTTCTGGCTTTCGCGCCCGGCCTCCTCCGGCGGCTCCTCGGTGCTGGCGGCGCCGCCGCTCCCTGCCCTGCCTGGCGGCGCCCCGCCAGCGGCGGTCCGCCAGCGGCCGCGCGCCGGCAGCGGCGGTGCGTCCGAGCGCTGGGGCCCGCCAGCAGCCGCCCGCTGCCTCCACTGCCAGCTTCCGCAGCTGCCTTGTTTTCAGTTGCCGCCTCCGGCTCCATCAAGCAAGCCTCGGCGGCCGTCCCAGGCCGCGTTCTCCAGCCTGCTGGCGCGTTCGGCGCTTAGTTTCGCATTGACATTCCTGGGAGACGCGTCCGTCTGGTCTTGCCGCACGGCTTGGCTGGGCGGAGCCCTGCGCAGTGTGGGTCTGCGGCTCTGCCTAGCCCCTCGTGGTCTCGTGCTGGCCCTGGTTCGCGGGTTGGCCGGGGTGGGTGGAGCATGGCCCGTGCCGTGTGCTGCTCGTGGCTCCGCGTGGTCCTGTCGTGGGGGTCCTCTGCGGTCCGCTCCTGGTCACCCTGTGCGGGCCCTTTCCGTTGGCCGCACCTGGTCTTGTCTTGTCTTGTCTTGTCTTGTCTTGTCTTGGCTTGGCTTGTCTTGTCTTGTCTTGTCTTATCTTGTCTTGGCTTGTCTTGTCTTGTCTGGTCTTGTCTTGTCTTGTCTTGTCTTGTCTTGTCTTGTCTTGTCTTGTCTTGTTTTGTCTTGTCATGGCTTGTCTTGTCTTGTCATGGCTTGGCTTGGCTTGTCTTTTCTTGTCTTGTCTTGTCATGGCTTGTCTTGTCTTGTCTTGGCTTGGCTTGGCTTGTCTTGTCTTGTCTTGTCATGGCTTGGCTTGGCTTGGCTTGTCTTGTCTTGTCTTGTCATGGCTTGTCTTGTCTTGTCTTGGCTTGGCTTGGCTTGTCTTGTCTTGTCTTGTCATGGCTTGTCTTGTCATGGCTTGTCTTGTCTTGTCTTGTCCTGTCCTGTCTTGTCTTGTTTTGTCATGTCTCGTCTCTTCTTGTCTTGTCTTGTCTTGTCTTGTCTTGTCTTGTCTTGTCTTGTCTTGTCTTGTCTTGTCTTGTCTTGTCTTGTCTTGTCTTGTCTTGTCTTGTCTTGTCTTGTCTTGTCTTGTCTTGTCCTGTCCTGTCCTGTCCTGTCCTGTCCTGTCCTTTCCTGTCCTGTCCTGTCTGGTCTGGTCTTGTCCTGTCCTGTCTTGTCTTGTCTTGTCTTGTCTTGTCTTGTCTTGTCTTGTCTTGTCTTGTCTTGTCATGCCATGCCATGCCATGTCTTGTCTTGTCTTGGTCTTGTCTTGTCCTGTCCTGTCCTGTCCTGTCCTGTCCTGTCCTGTCCTGTCCTGTCCTGTCTTGTCTTGTCCTGTACTGTCTTGTCCTGTCTTGTCTTGTCTTGTCTTGTCATGCCATGCCATGTCTTGTCTTGTCTTGTCTTGTCTTGTCCTGTCCTGTCCTGTCCTGTCCTGTCCTGTATTGTCGTGTCTTGTCTTGTCCTGTCTTGTCTTGTCTTCTCATGTCATGTCATGCCATGCCTTGTCTTGTCTTGTCTTGTCTTGTCTTATCCTGTCCTGTCCTGTCCTTTCATGTCCTGCCTTGTCTTGTCTTGTCTTGTCCTGTCTTGTGCTGTCCTGTCCTGTCCTGTCCTTTCTTGTCTTGTCTTGTCCTGTCCTGTCCTGTCCTGCCTTGTCTTGTCTTGCCTTGTCCTGTCTTGTCTTGTCCTGTCCTGTCCTGTCCTGTCTTGTCTTGTCTTACTTTGTATTGTCTTGTGCAGTCTTTTCCTGTTCTGTTTTTTTTTTTTTTTTGTCTTGTCTTGTCTGATTTTGTTTTGTCATGTTCTGTCCCGTCCTGTCCTGTCATGTCTTGTCTTGTCTTGTCTTGTTTTGTCGTGGCTTGTCTGGTCATGTCCTGTCCTGTCTTGTCGTGCCTCGTCTTGTCTTCTCTTGTCCTTTCTTGTCTTTTCTTGTCTTGTCTTGTCTGTTCTTGTCTTGCCTTGTCTCGTCTCAACTCCTGTCCTGTGCTGTCTTGTCTTGTCTTGCCTTGCCTTGTCTTGTCTTCTCTTGTCTTGTTTTGACTGTTATTGTCTTGTCTTGTCTTGTCTTGTCTTGTCTTGTCTTGTCTTGTCTTGTCTTGTCTTGTCTTGTCTTGTCCAGTCTTGTCTTGTCTTGTCTTGTATTGTCTTGTCTTGTCTTGTCTTGTCTTGTCTTGTCTTGTCTTGTCTTGTCTTGTCTTGTCTTGTCTTGTCTTGTCTTGTCTTGTCTTGTCTTGTCTTGTCTTGTCTTGTCTTGTCTTGTCTTGTCTTGTCCTGTCCTGTCCTGTCCTGTCCTGTCCTGTCCAGTCCCGCCGTGCTGTGTCGTGCTTTGTCGTGTCGTGTTGTGTCTTGTCCTGTCCTGTCTTGTCTTGTTTTGTCATGTCTCGTCTCTTCTTGTCTTGTCTTGTCTTGTTCTATCCTGTCCTGTCCTGTTCTGCCCTGCCCTGTCTTGTGCTGTCTTGTCTTGTCCTGTCTTGTCCTGTCTTGTCCTGTCCTGTCCTGTTCTGTCATGTCTTGTCTTGCCTTGTCTTGTCGTGTCGTGTCCTGTCGTGTCTTGGCCTGTCTTGTCCTGTCTTGTCTTGTCTTGTCTTGTCGTGTCTTGTCTGGTCATGTCTTCTTGTCCTGTCTTGTCCTGTCTTGTCCTGTCCTGTCCTGTCCTGTCCTGGCCTGTCCTGTGTTGCCTTGCCTTTCCTTGTTTTGTCATGTCTTGTCTTGTCTTGTCTTGTCGTGTCTCGGCTTGTCTCGTCTCGTCTTGTCCTGTCCTGTCCCGTCCTGTCCTGTCCTGTCTTGTCTTGTCTTGCATGTCCTCCCTGGCCTGTCCTGTCCTGTCCTGTCCTGTCCTGTCCTGTCCTGTCCTGTCCTGTCTTGTCTTGTCTTGTCTTGTCTTGTCATGTCATGTCCTGTCCTGTCCTGTCCTGTCCTGTGCTGTCTTGTCCTGTCTGATTCTGTCCTGTCCTGTCCTGTCCTGCCCTGTCCTTTCCTGTCCTGTTCTGTACTGTCCTGTCCTGTCTTGTCTTGTTTTGTCTTGGCTTAGCTGGTCGGGTCTGTCTTGGCTTGCCTTGCCTTGCCTGGCCTTGTCCTGTCCTGCCTCGTCTTGTCGTTGTCGTGTCGTGGCGTGCCCTGTCCTGTCCTGTCCTGTTCTGTCCTGTCTTATCTTGTCTTGTCTTGCCTTGTTTGGTCTTGTCTTGTCTTGTCTTGTCGTGCCTTGTCTGAGTCATGTCATGTCCTGTCTTGTCTTGTCTTGTCTTGTGTTGTCTTGTCTTGTCGTGTCGTGTCCTGTCCAGTCCTGTCCTGTCTTTTCTTTTCTTGTCTTGTCTTGTCTTGTCTTGTCGTGCCTTGCCTTGCCTTGCCTTGGCTTGTCTTGTCTTGTCTTGTCATGGCTTGTCTTGTCTTGTCTTGTCTTGTCTTGTCTTGTCTTGTCTTGTCTTGTCTTGTCTTGTCTTGTCTTGTCTTGTCTTGTTTTGTCATGTCTTGTCTTGTCTTGTCGTGTCTTGTCTGGTCTGGTGCTGTCCTGTCTTTTCTTGTCCTGTCTTGTCTTGTCGTTTCGTGTCCTGCCCTGTCCTGTCTGTGTCCTGTCCTGTGTCCTGTCCTTTCATGTCCTGTTTTGTCCAGTCTTGTCTTGTCTTGTCTTGTTCTGTCTTGTGTTGTCTGTCATGTCTTGTCCTGTCCTGTCTTGTCCTATCCTGTCCTGTCCTCTCCCGTCCCATCCTGTTCTGTCCTATCCTGTCCTGTCTAATCCTGTCTTATCTTGTCCTGTCCTGTCCTGTCCTCTCCTGTCCTGTCCTGTCCCGTCTTGTCTTGTCTTGTCTTATCTTGTCTTGTCTTGTCTTGTCTTGTCTTGTCCTGTCTTGTCTTGTCCTGTTCCGTCCCGTCCCGTCCAGTCCTGTCCTGTCCTGTCTTGTCTTGCCTTGTTTTGTCTTGTCTTGTGTTGTTTTGTCGTGTCGTGTCGTGCCCTGTCCTGTCCTGTCCTGTCCTGCCCCGTCCTGTCCTGTCCTGTCCTGTCTTGTCTTGTCCTGTCCTGTCCTATCCTGTCTTGTCTTGCCTTGTCTTGCCTTGCCTTGCCTTGCATTGCCTTTGGCTTGTCTTGTCTTGTCTTTTCTTGCCTTCTTGTGTCTTGTCTTGTCGTGTCCTGTCCTGTCCTGTCCTGTCCCGTGTTGCCTTGCCTTGCCTCTTCCTGTCTTGTCGTGTCTTGTCTTGTCTTGTCTTGTCTTGCCTTGCCTTGCCTTGCCTTGCCTTGCCTTGTCTTGTCTTTTCTTGTCTTGTCTTGTCTTGTCTTGTCTTGTCTTGTCTTGTCTTGTCTTGTCTTGTCTTGTCTTGTCTTGTCTTGTCTTGTCTTGTCTTGTCTTGCCTTGTCTTGTCTTGTCTTGTCTTGTCTTGTCTTGTCTTGTCTTGTCTTGTCTTGTCTTGTCTTGGTCTTGGTCTTGGTCTTGGTCTTGTCTTGTCCTGTCCTGTCCTGTCCTGTCCTGTCCTGTCCTGTCCTGTCCTGTCCTGTCCTGTCCTGTCCTGTCCTGTCCTGTCCTGTCTTGCCTTGCCTTGCCTTGCCTTGCCTTGTCTTGTCTTGTCTTGCTTTGTCTCGTCTTGTCTCGTTTCGTCTCGTCTCGTCTCGTCTCGTCTCGTCTCGTCTTGTCTTGTTTTGGCGTGTCTTGTCTTGTCTTGTCCTGTTTGGTCTGGTCTGGTCTGGGCTGGTCTTGTCTGGGTTTCGGATCGGGAGGGGCGGGCGCGTCCCCTGTGTCCCGGTCGCTGCTCCCAAGGAGGTGGAGGTAGGCAGCTGTGAACGTGGCCGTCATCAACCGCGAAGTTTCTGGGTCGCTCGCGAAATCCAGCAGGCTTTTTCAGTTCAAGGCCAGCTTGCGCAAGTATTTTTAGCTTGTTCGCAGTGTTTTCCCGCTTGCTCCTCGCCCCGTGCCCGTCCTCCGCTTCCCTCCCGCTCCTGCCCCTCCTTCCCGCGCCGCCTTTTTCCCCACCCGCCACCCCATTCTTGCCGCCCGCCTTCCGTGTCGCTGTGGATCCCCCGCTGCAGTAGGTAGCGGGCCGTTGGAGGCCGGTCCCGCGTGCTCCCCGTTGCAGCGCCCAGGGGTCGGCAGCCCCGGCTCCTCCGCGTCGCTTCGCTCCGCCACGCCCCGCCACTGATTGGGCTGCTGGAAGGGGCGCGCTGGCGCGCGCCCCACCTCCACGCCCTCGCGCGCGGGCCTCCGAGGGTGCGTGACCAGACTGGCAGCGGAAAACGACAAGCGAAGGGCGAAAACAGGAGGGATTTTTGGATTTTTTTCGCAGCAAAGCAACTGGGGGCGGCAGCGCAGGGAGGGGCAGGGCTGCAAAGTCAGGGCGAGAGGCATTTGGATGGGCATGCCATCTTATCTTGCCCTGCTAGCCGGCCGACCAGGGTCGTGTCTCAGCGCCCCGAGCCGTCGAGGATGGGGACGCCGCTCAAAACCCCTCCGCACCCCCAGCTTAGTGGGTCCTGGTGCAGAGGCGTGCCCGGCCCCGGGAAAGGCCCGACGGAGTGCCCGGGCGCCTCGGTCAAGGACTTGTGGGGGGAGCTCCCCTCGACCCTGGTCGAGAAGCTCGTTGGCTTCGCCGCCGTCTCTGCCAGATAACTGACCCTCCGAGAATCTTTAGGGTGCCATGGGCGTTCGACCTGCGGCGCCTGCGGGTGGTCGTCCCGCGCCGGAGAGCGGAGATGAAGTGGCGGCGGCGCCGTCAGTTTCACCCGCCCAGCCGGTTCCAAAACGCGCGGGGAGCTGGACAGGACAGCCCACCCTCTGGATGGCGTCCAGTCTTTGCTAGAGCGGGAGGACCCGAGACCGCTGGTCTGTGGCCGCCGCCGGCCGAGCGACGCTGCCCGCCTGCCCCGCCAGGAAGCCCCTGACTGGAGAAGGCCGCGCGTGCGCGTTCCTTGGCTCGCGCTCCTGGCCTGGGCGGGGAGCTCATCTGCTGGCAGCGACTGCGCCTGTTGGGTACCATCGCAAGGGAGGCCTGTGCGATCGCTTGCGCGAGCCGTCCCGACGTGTGAGCAGCCGGGGCGGCAGCGTCGCCGTGCAGATCGTCCTGCGTGGCGGCCCCATCGGCGAGCCCCGGATACTTCCCGACGAGAGTGGCGGGCGCGTGAAGCAGCCTGGCCCGTGGGGAGCAGGAGGTGTTTGGCGGTTTGGCGAGGGGGGTCTTCGGCGAGCCCTGGCAAGGGGGCCCTCGCCGCGGGGCGGCGAGGGCGAGAGCTGGGGAGGCTGGCTTCCGCCCACCAGGTGCGTCCCCGTGGCGTGTAGGCAGCGCGTCGTCGTTGCGATTGGTTGCGGCGACCCGCGGCGGGTCAACGCTCTTGACCTCGCCCCTGGCGCGGTCGTGGGCCTGGCTCTTGGGATGTCCCGGGCCGCGTGGGGCTGGGATGCGGCGTCCTCCCTGGGACCGCGCCCCGCGACTTGGCTGGATTTACCGTGGCTGCCGCGACAAACTCGAGCCCGCCCGGCGCCTGCTTGAGGCGGTCGAGATGGGCGGCTGGGGGCAGGAAGAGCGCCAATGTTTGATGGAGCGCGTGGCGGCTGGGCTTCTAGTAACACTTGCGCGGATTCGGACGACGCCGCCCTGGCTGCGACGCTGCGGGGTCTCGGGGCAGCGGGCCTGGCGTGGCAGTGGTGTTCGGCCCCTCCTGGTGCCCGCGGCTTCCCTCCCTTGCCGTGCCCGCGGTTTCCCGCTGGATAGGGGCTCGGGGCCATGGCGAACCGCCTGCGGGTGCTGGCGTGGTGCCGATGTGCCCGACGCAGGCCTGCGGCGTGCCTGGGGCCGCTTGGCCCTGGCCCCGACCTGGTTGCCCTCGGCGAGGCCTGCCCCACAGTGCGTGCGCTGGAACTTCGGAGACCCCGTGGGGGGGGGGGGGGGGGGGGCGAAGGGCCCGCTGGAGATCCGATTCGCGAGGCCGTGGCTGCTGTGGCGGGGCCCACCTGACAGTTTGGTTTCGTTTCGTTCCGCGTTCGTACGGCACGCACTGGGTCCCGCGCCGGGCGCTCGCCGGGCCTCCGTCTCCGAGCCCCGGGCTCGCCGCCCCTGACAGCTGTCGGAACCCGCCGCGCCGAGGGAAGATATGGGCGCCGCCAGGTGGTGATCCCTCTCACCCCATCGCGCCCCCACCTTTGCAGTCCCTGCATGCTGCCCTCCCCGCCCGTAGTGGGCGGATAGCGCCGCCCCCCCCCCGCAGACTCACAGCGGGCAGCACCTGTGCGCGGCAAGGTACGAGGGTTCATGGTGCAGGAGCGCTCGCCGCCCGTCCTCGCTCCCCTCCCCGGCCCTTCTGACAGCGAAGCGGGCGGTCAGCCAGGCGGGACCCGGCGCAGGCAGCTGCTGCGCACTCGGAACGGAGCGGGGGAGGAAAGTGTTTCGGGCGGCTCTACGTCGCCAGCCTCCTCGAAAACAGAAGGGGGCGCGTGGGGAGGGGGCGGCGGAGGAGGCGGCTTGGGAGGCGGGGGCGGGGCCGGCCAAGCAGCCTGTATTACCAGAGTTCCTATGTAACTGACGTGCGCCGCACGGGCGCGCGACGGGAGGCCCTCACAGGAAAGGACCCGCAGGGCAAATTCTGGGGCGACGTCCTGGATGGACGGAAGGTCGTGTGCAAGCAGGTTCGCTGCCCAGGCCAGACACGCCACCAGGGGATGGTCGACGCCAACGTCCAGAGCTTCACGCGCCCCTCACTGGGGAAGAGTGGCCGGCAACCGCATTTTTTCTGCCAAACACGGAAAGCGGCCAGCAGCCCGTCATGCGCGTGACTGCCCACACACGGTATCTTCGGGTTTGCCTTTTTGGAAGGGGGGCCTGCGGGGTTGGTTACAGCGCGCAAGGGGGCCTTCTCGCAGGTCTCCAATCCGCTGGGTTTTTACATGTCCACCTTTGTGGCGCGCGACGCATCTTTCTTTCTAGGAAACAGTCTCGGGTGCGTACTTCTGCCTGTGGGGCCGCTGGTTGCCCTCCTCCGCCGCGGCGCGGCTGTCGAGCCGGCTGTGGGTCCCGCCGCAGAGGCGCCCTTGGCCTGGCTTCGCTCGGGGTCTGGGGCAGCCGCCGTGGATGGACCCGCGCCGCGGATGGTGGAGCTGTGCGTGTCGGGGCCGTCGGCGGCGGCGCCGCGGCTGTTGCGCGCCAGTGGCAAGAAGGGCGACCGCTACAAGCTGGAAGTCAACTCGGATGGCTCTACGTGCCCGCTGCTGTGCCTAGGGTGGAGAGCGGTCGGAGGGGGCGAGCACTGCGTCTGCTGGGTCGTGGGGTTCGGCCCCGGCAAGATCCAGCGACGAGCCGCGCGCTCCTGGCGCGGCGCTGTCGCTTCGGATCCCGGCGGAGAGGGCAGTGGAGTATCAGCTGGAGGAGTGGAGGGGGCTGGACCAAACAAAAAAAAAACACGAGACTCACATCGACAACGTGCTCCCGGAGGTGCTCATGCTCGGCAGGGCGGGGGGCGTCACCTGGCGACGGCGTGCCAGGCCCCCCACCTGGCCAGTGTTCTGGGCGGAGGGTGCGTCTCCCGGCCTTAGGGGGGTCGCCGAGCGCGCCGCGGCGGGTGGTGAAGGCATGCGGCCCCTGCAGTGCGGCAGCGGGGCCAAAGCCGCAGCGGGCGTCTGGGGCAAGCGGCCCAGCCAGCCCACCCTCGCCATCGCCCCGGACGTGGCGTCTCGGTTGGCGAGAACGCGCGCGGCCAAGGCCGATGATGATGATGATGATGATGATGATGATGATGATGATGATGATGATGATGATGATGATGATGATGATGATGATGATGATGATGGTGATGATGATGATGATGATGCCGATGATGATGATGATGATGATGATGATGATGATGATGATGATGATGATGATGATGATGATGATGATGATGATGATGATGATGATGATGATGAGGATGATGATGAGGCCGATGATGATGATAATGATGATGCTGATGCTGATGCTGATGCTGATGCTGATGCTGATGATGATGATGATGGTGTTGATGATGGTGATGATGATGATGCTGATGATGATGATGATGATGATGATGATGATGATGATGATGATGATGATGATGATGATGATGATGATGATGCTGATGCTGATGCTGATGCTGATGCTGATGCTGATGCTGATGATGATGGTGGTGATGATGATGATGCTGGTGATGCTGATAATGATGATGATGCTGATGATGATGATGATGATGATGATGATGATGATGATGATGATGGTGATGATGGGGATGGTGGTGACGGTGACGGTGATGGTGATTGTGATGGTGGTGGTGATGATGCTGGTGGTGATGATGATGATGCTGATGATGATGGTGGTGGTGGTGGTCATGATGATGATTGTGGTGGTGGTGATGATGATGAGGATGCTGAGGATGATGAGGATGATGATGATGAGGATGATGAGGATGCTGATGAGGCCGATGATTATGCTGATTATGCTGATGATGATGATGATGATGAGGATGATGATGACGACGACGATGACGATGATGATGATGATGATGATGATGATGATGATGATGATGATGATGATGATGATGATGATGAGGATGAGGATGAGGATGATGATGAGGATGCGGATGAGGATGAGGATGAGGATGAGGATGAGGATTAGGATGAGGATGAGGATGAGGATCAAGGTGAGTCCGTGATGGCGGGTGGCTGTGACAGCAATGAACATGTCAGGTGTCGAGTCGAAGCAGACGAGGAGTGTTCTAGCTGTGCCATGGGGATGGGAATGCATAATCGCTTGGGGGGGGGGGCGTCATTCAAATGATTGGGCCACTAGAATCGGAACGCGGACTGGTTGACGAAGGAAGACTACAAGAAGTTTGGCTACCCCGAGTCCGACCCCAGGTTCGAGAGTGAGGAGTGGAACGCCGAGCAGATCTGGCTCGACAGTGCAGCCCCTAGCTTTGTGTTGGCATGGTAATCCCAGGCTTCGCAACCAGTCGACCTGTCAGGGACGCGTGCATATGCTTATGTGCTTCCTGTTTTTGCGGAACCCTTCTTCTCACGATAAGGAGTAATAGGAGATGGCACCTGATGATGAAGATTATGATCAGGACAACGCATTCGGAGGACGAGGAGGACGATTCAGAGGATTTACACACACACATCTTTACACATGTATATATACACACTTATATACATATGTTGTATATATATACACGTGTATCTACGTATCTACATCAATTTACATGTGCATATACGTGTACATGTACATGCTAGCCAGCGCGGACCACAACCACTGTGTTCTAGCAAAGCATGTCGTGCAGTGTCTGCTGGAATTTAGTGCGATGGGTCTGTTGCAAGCTATGATCTGCAAGCAAAGTTGGGCATTATATGTGGTGCAGTCTATGTTCTGGAAGAAGTGAGTGCAATGTATGTTGTGAGTGATCAGAAAACGCGCCGCAGGCGCGAAACACGTATCCTGCAATTCCTAGGTGCTGCAATACCTATATATATACACTTATCTATGGGGCAGTCTATGTGGTGAAATCTCCGTGGTGCAACTAATTTCTGTTCGCAGTGAGTTGTCCACTCCACTGCTCGCGCAAACATCCCACCCACCCACCCGCAACTTGGATTGCTAAATCTCTTAAGACCGTGACGGTGGGTACCAAATTGCACTTGGCAGCAACAGCGACGCCGACGACGACAGCGACAACGACGACGACGACAACGACTACGACGACACCGACGACGTCTCCAACGACTTCGACGACGCCGACAACGACGACGACGACGACGACGACGACGACGACGACGACACCGACGACGACGATGACAACGACGACGACGATGACGACGACGCCGACGACGACGATGACGACGACACCGAGGACGACGCCGACGTCAACGACGCCGACGACGACGACGATGGCGGCGGCGACGACCACGACGCCGACGTCGACGACGACGAAGACGACAACGACGCCGACGCCGACGACGATGACGAAGACGACGACGACGTCGCCAACGAAGACGACGAGGGAGGAGGAAGGACGACGACGGCGACAACGACGATAACGACGACAACCACGAGGGAGGAGGGAGGACGGCGACGACGCGAACGACGAAGAAGGAGGAAGGACAGCTTCGCCGACAACGGCAACGACGAGGGAGGAGGGAAGACGACGACGACGGCAACGACGACGACGACGACGACGACGACGGCGACGAAATAGGAGGGACGACGACGATACGCCGACGACGGACGACGACGACGACGAGGGAGGAGGAGGAACGACGACCACGGCGACAACGACGACGGAAACGACCACGACGCCAAAGAGGACGACGACGACGAACACGAGGAAAGACAGAGGACGACGTGGGCGACGACGACGACGACGCGGGAGGAGGGAGGACGGCGACGACGACGACGACGACGAGCGCGCGCGCACGCTTTTGTTGAAAATCCGTGTTGCGAAACCTTGTGTTTTTGTACGTTTTTTGGGCACACGATTTTGAAGTCCTTCCGAAACCGATGGGTTTTGAATGTTTTCGGCATGCACGCGCGACGACGCGCGCGTCTGCACTTCGTCCCATTTTTTGGAAGAGGTTCTCGCGACGGCACACGCGCAAGGGCGTTCGACAGATTTCGACATGCGCGTTCGCGAAGCCCGTTTGGTAGCATTTTGTGAAAATTTTGCAAAACCTATGGTTTTTTGAAGATTTCGCAAGAGCTCGCGCGGAAGCTTTTTTTAGCACATCTGTGTTGCGAAACGTCGTGTTTTTGTAGTTTTTTTGGACACACGATTTTGAACTCCTTCCGAAACCGATGGGTTTTCAAGGATTTCGGCATACGCGCGCGACGACGCGCGCGTCTGTACTTCGTTTCATTTTTTGCAGAGGATTCTCGCGACGGCACACGCGCAAGGGCGCTCGACAGATTTCGACATGCGCGCGCGCGGAGCCCGTTGGGTAGCATTTTGTGAACAGCTTGAAAAACCTATGGTTTTCTTAAGATTTCGCAAGAGCTCGCGCGGAGGCTTTTTTAGCAAATCTGTGTTGCAAAACCTTCTGTTTTTGCAGGTTTGTTGGAAGCTCGATTGCGAAATCCTTTCGGCACCGATGGGTTTTCAAGGATTTCGGCATGCGCGCGCGACGACGCGCGCGTGTGCACTTCGTCCAATTTTTTGCAAGGGTTTCGTGAAAAAGTGTTATGTTAGAACAAAACAAAGTCACCGCATAGTGTTTTTTACAAGGGGCCCTCAGGGGGGGATACCGGTTGACATGTGACATTGTGATTTCATATTAAGGATGGACATGTGGTCATAATCATATATGATTTACATACCCGAAAGGGGGACCGGTAACGCCGGGGGGGGGGGAGATCCTATTTTGTTTTTAGAAAGGAGAATATGTGCGGTCCAAGCCACGTGGGTCAATCGATGTCGGGTTATCTATGTTGTGCAATCTAGGTGGTTGTGCGATAACGGTGCTACAACCTATATGGTGCAACAAATGCTGTGCAACTGATCTGGTGGAATCTATGTGGATGTGCATCATACGTTGTGCAACCTATGTGGTGCAACCTATGTTGTGCAGTATCTGTGGTGCAATCTATGTTGTGAGCGACCACACAGCGCGCCGCAGGCGCGGTTTTGCTTCGTGCAATCTATGCAAGGTTATCCGACGGCGGCGACGGGCGGCGACGAGGCGGCGACTGGGCGGCGACGGCGGCCACAGAGCCGTCAGACCGAAGACACGGCCCAGACGACGGGCGACGACGATGCGACGGCGGCCGCATAGGACCGACGACACGGCCCAGTTCCTTAGAACAGAATCAAGAACCCTTAAGTGCAAGCATTGCTTTGGAAATATGCGTATGCACCTGCATACACGTACGTTCATGCATGCGCGTGTCTACCAATCTTTATTTATGTGAATACATACGTGTGTGTCCAGATTCCCCAACGAGAGCCTGTACTTACGGGGTTCTTACTTGTGTTCTCAGGAACTTGGCCTGTGCGTCAGCTTGGCGGCTATGTGGTCGCCGTCGCCGCCCCCTCGCCGTCTGGGTCTTTGTTACTTTGCATTACCTTGCGTTACTTTGCATTGCTGCCCATCGATTAGCATTCATTTCTTAGCGTTGCGTACTTCTTTACACTGATGTGCACTGCTTTGAATTGCTGTGCCGTTTGTTGCATTGCATTGCATTGCGTTGCATTGGTTTGCACTGATTTGCCCCATTTTGCGTTCGTTTGCCCTGCTTTTCATTGCGTTGCATTGCTTTGCGTGGGTTCGCATTGCTCTGTATTGCTTGGCACTGCTTGGCATTGCTTTGCATTGCTCTGCGTTGTTTTGTATTGTTTTGCGATGCTTTGCATTGCGTTGCGTTGCGTAGCATTGCTTTACCGCCCGTCGCCACATAGATTGCACAACGCGCCAGAAATATCGCACCCGCGAGTCAGCGCGGCCTGCGAGACGCGCTTGGAAGTGCCCAGCGGTCAGCGCCACTGCGGCCGCGCTGATCGCGCCAGACTAGCTGGCCGCTCTGCGCTCGAGCCTGCGCGCGCTAGCGCGGCCGCAGCGATGCGCCAACCATCGCCTGGCAGTCATGCCAATCGCCGCCGCATGTGTTTTGCAATCGAGTTGCGGGTGGGTGGGTGGGATGATTGCGCGAGCAGTGGAGTTGACAACTTCAATTTCGTCAGGGTGAGCCGCACCACATAAATTGCACCACGAAGATGGCACCACATAGATCGCACCACATAGACTGCACCACATAGATTGTACCTCAGTGGTTGCACCACGTAGACGTGCACCAGTGCATCAAACAACATATATTGCACAACATAGGTTGCGACACGTTGGCTGCATCACATTCGCAACGTGCATTGCAGCATAGTATGCCAACAAGAACTTTCGGGGGTCCACAACCCTGGTCAACGTATGCACACATATATATATGTGTATATGTATATGTATATTATACGTATACAAGCAGAGGCATCGATCCAACATTTAGCAACGACTATAGTTGTAGATGCTTAGGTCAGTGAACGTGTGTTTATGTATATGTATAGGTGTATGTATTAAATGTGTTTAGGCATGTGTATATTCATATGTACATGTATGTGCATTTGTTCAAATGCATGCATTGGTATAATAATAGGTTCGTGTCGACAGTTGTAGATGTATACATATACATACATACATATATATAGCTTATATATTATATATATCTTATATAGGTATGTATATATTTGAGTAAGTTGACTTGTATGTGTATTTGTGCATGTACACATGCATGAGTAGGTATCGTTATTTCCATGTGAATTTGTACGTGCATGATGCTATTATGTACAATTATGTGTACGTAGAAGTATATGTATATTTTTGCATATAGGCTTATCTATTTGTAGATTTATATGCACACGCGTATACACAGGCACGTATAATGTACATGTACAGTACTATGTGAATATGTTTATGTACATGTGTATGTATCTACATGTATATGCCTATGTTTATTTAGGTGTGAAGTATTTGTGTATGTATATGCATACATATATGTATTCAAGCATGTATACACGAGTACATGTAGATGCATACGTATTCGTAGCTGTATATGCACATGCATATGTATATGTATGTGTAGTGTGACAATGATTATACAATTCCACAGAATCAACACACTTTTATGCATATATATATATATATATGTATGTAGCAGACACAAGTGAGTTTCGCCGGCAGCCATGGTCAGTACGAAACATTGCGAAGCAAACACTGGTAGCACCACAACATAGAGTCATTCACGCCCGCTGGGGAGAACGCGCCAGAGGGTTGGCCGGTGAAACATTTGAGGCAGTCACCACTGGCACAGGAACACTTAGGACACCACGCTGTGAGAAGAAAAGATGTAAGGTGGGATAGTGGTGACGAG